GGCAAAAATGTGTCCTATAATATTTATTTCAAAAAGTATTCTCTTATCAATTTGTTGATGCAGAACCTGCAAATTCTTTACAGTGTCCTTTGTTAAGGTCATACTCTAGTATTTACTTAATAACAAACAGAGGGTCCAACATGAGAGGGGCTAAGAGAATCCCTAGAATGATAGTAAAGAAATATAATAAATCTGTACTGAGTGCAAAGGAAAGTGGGTTCAGATTGGGACATATCAAACGCTCCAGAAAACTGATGAAAAATCCTATGTATCTGAGTATCTTGAGACTTATCAAACTAGTAGAAACAGTACAGAGGTTGAATTAATGATAATTATTTTTAAACTAAGCAAATAATGTATTAATGATTCCATGGAAAACAAAGTTATAGGATAGAAAAATTTCACAGGCCAGGTGCAGTGGATCATGCTTATAATCCTAGCAGTTGGGGAGGCCAAGGCAGGAGGACTACTTAAGGCCAGGAGTTTAAGAGCAGCGTAGGCAACATAGTGAGACCTCATCTCTACAGGGAAAAGAAAAAAAAAATCAAAAAATTAGCTGGGTGTGGTAGTCCCAGCTCCTCAGAAGGCTGAGGCAAGATCATCTGAGGAGGTCAAGGCTATGGTTAGCCATAATCGTGCTACTGCACTCAAGCCTGGACAACAGAGTAAGACCCCAACACACACAAAAAAACCAAAAAAGACTTCACGGTTAACTACATGGTTCAGACATGAACAAAATTTGTGGTCACAAAAGGCATTGAATTTCTACCTACCTGAAATTATAATGTAACTATTGGGATGAAACGAAAATGGAAAAGTACTGCCTATGGTGGGACAGAAGAAGGATAAAAAAGCAATCCTCCTCTTCCATAGCTGTTAAGTCGGTAGAAAATGCCTAACACTGAAAAAACCTGAAGTTGCAATACAACAAAGTAATTCATAGCTATGGAAGCAATCAGCAAGAGAATCAACCAGGAAGAGTTTGAAGTGGCTATCTCTAACAGAAAACAGCACACCCTTGTTTTTGTTAGAATTTGTAGAACCACATTTTTAAACCATGTGCAAATACACAACTGATTTTTAAAAACAACTTTCAAAGAAGAGAAAACAAAACACTTCTCATAGAAGAAATTACTTACAAAGAACATAAAACTATAAAAAGTAACAGTTTTTTTTGAGTTGGAGTGTCACTCTATCACCCAGGTTGGAGGGCAGTGGCATGCTTACAGCCACCGCATCCTCGACCTGCTGGGCTCAGGTGATCCTTCCACCTCAGCCTTCCAAGTAGCTAGAACTACAGACATGCGCCACCACATCTGGCTAGTTTTTTTTTTTTTAATTATTGTAGAGATACGGTCTCGCTAATTTGCCCAGGCTGGTCTTGAACCCGTGAACTTAGTTAATCCTCTTGCCGCTGCCTCCCAAAGTGCTGAGATTACAGGCGTGAGCCACTGTGCCCAGCTAAAAGTAAGAGATTTTAAAGTTTAAAAAATTAATAAATAAAAACTGCTATCTCAAACAATAAAGGTTATTTAAATTAATGGAAAAATTATATATGAAATATTAACAGGATAAATTTTCATCCAACCAACTCTCCCTCCTAAGCAATATGACACAATCAAAACACGTTATTTTCATATCTAATGTTTTAAAGTTTTTAAGACAGCCAAGACATCAGCTAAGCACGTTTGTTGAGAACTTTCCACTCAAATGGTCCTTCCTTTGAAATGCAGATACCTCCAATCTTCCAAGCTACCATCTATATTATGGCCAGCAAAGACTTTGGTCCAGGATCTTCCGCAATTTTCTAATTCCTTTCTTCAACTTGGGGTTTTACTTTCTTTTTTTTTTTTTCCTCAGCACTTTGGGAGGCCAAGTCAAGAGAAGTAAGTGCCTAAGCCCAGGAGTCTGAGCAGCCTGGCAATATAGCGAGATCTCATCTCTATAATAAAATTTTTTAAAAATTAGCCAGGTGTGATGGTGTATGCCTGTAGTCCCAGCTACCTGGAAGACTGAGGCGGAAGGATCACTTGAGCCCAGTAGATCAAGGATGAGATAGTTGTGACTGTGCCAATGAACTCCAGTCTGGGCCACAGAGTGAGACTGATAAACAAAGGAAGGGAAGGAGGGAAAAGGAAAGAAAATGCAAAGAAAATCTGTACCATCAAAAACCATCAAACTCCAGTACCAAATTCTGACTACAATTCCTTAACTTTCTGGTGCATACTGCTTTGCTACCCATTCATAATTCTGTACAAATTCATCATGATCTCCAACCCCTCCCTGCATCCCTCATTATCTTTAAGTAATTCAGCCTTCTGGATTCACTCTCTCCTCTATGCTATAACACTTTCATCTCTGCCTTGTCAAAATCCTTGTCTCCTTTTCCACAACCGCCTGGGAGAAAAAACATTACATGACTAAAAGTTTTGGGTATCCAACCTCACTACTGTGGGTAGAGAATGGGTGCCCCACTACTATTAATATGTACTCTCTAGTCACCTCTCAATTTCTCTCAGTAGTGATTATGAAAGTTATTATTCTCTACAATTCCTCAAAGTATGTCCAATCCTTCTCCCAACAAATCAGCTTGATTCCACTTCATGAAAAAAAACTGTCAACTATGAACTTCCTCTGCCTACCTGCATCTCTGCCCTTCCTAGTTGCACATTTTCCTGTACCCAAACTTAACTGCTTCCCTCCTGCCATTGGAGTAACCCTCTTAAAAATTAGAACTATAGCTCACACCTGTAATCCCAGCACTTTGGGAGGCAGAGGCGAGAGGATTGCCTGAGACCAGGGGTTCGAGACTGTCTCCAAGACAACGTGGTGAGACCTTGTCTCTACAATAAATAAAAAACGTAACCAGGTGTGGTGGTGGCACACGCCTTTGGTTTCAGCTACTTGGAAGGCTGAGGCAAGAGGGATCACCTGAGCCTGGCAGGTCAAGGCTCCAGTGGCCATGAGTATGTCACTGCACTCCAGCCTGAGTGACAGAGTGAGACTCCAACTTGAAAAAGAAAAAAAATTTAAAACTATTCTCAGTCTTATTATTGCAATTGACTTCTTACCAGTCCCCAGTAGGCACTGTTCTTTTCTTTTATGGCCATTTCCCAGAATCCCTGCATCACCAATTTCCAAACCTTCACCTGTCACTGGGGCAACAAGCTGCCTCTTAACATATGATATTCCATTGAAACTGCTCCCCTAAGGATAACAAATAAGCCAGATGCTGAAAAACTTACAAGCACTTCTCAGGGTTTCTCTAATGTTACTTCACTGCAGCAACTGGCACTATCTAACCTCCCACCTTGAAACATTCACTTATCTCAATTTTATGGCCATAACTCTTTGGCTTGGCTTCTACCTCTTTGTAATCTTCCATATTCTTTGCAGGTTCCTCTTACTCCACCTTTCTCTAAAAAGTTTGTGTTCACTAGGGACCTATTCTTCACCTTTCTACTTCACAGCTTCTCATCCAACTAACCTCTTCCTTTGTCCTACATAGGGTGATGACTTCACATCTATCTTCACTCCAGGACACCCACCCCAGTTCAAAGCCCTCTGAACCCAAGTGTTTGTTTTTTGAACAGTTTCAAAGATGCATATAATAAACTCATCTATTTCAACCTCACCTTACTCCTCCTCTTCAGTATTCCTAACTTCTGTGGACAACACATTTAGTCACTCAAGTTACAAACAGGAATTATCACAGATTCTTCACATTCTTACTGCCCTCACATCTAAGTAATCACTAAGTTACACTGTCTCCATTTTTCTCTAACCTCCTTTCTCATTCACACTGACCTGCAGACATTATATATCTTTCATCTGAAAAACTGCAACAAACTCACCTGTTTCCAACACAATTCACATCTCTTTTCCAATTCATGTAACCCAGTGCTGCCAGAATAATGGCTTCTAATAATGTGCATAAGTCTGTGTCATGCCATGATGAAAATTTCCGCATGACTACAGAATCCAGCAAACTCCCTTGCATTGCGTATTTACCCCCTCAATACCTAGTCCATGAATACCTATCTAGATCCATCTCCTACTATTCTCTTCTTTATACTTTTATTATCTGTCACTCTCACATATAAGACCTGCCCAGTTTTTATATCCTCTCGCAGAAATATACACCCCAAACACACCTGACCAACAAAAACCCAATCATCCCTTATGTCTTAGCTCAACTGTTACCTCCTCTGAGATGTTTCCCTGGTTCTCCCAGGCACATCTAGATGCACTTTGTTCCTATGCCTTCACCAGATTACATGCACTCATTAAAGCAACTATATCTGTTTAAATATTCATCTCTCTCATTCTTTAAGCGCGATAAGAGTAAAATGATAATTTTTTCCTCTTTAAAAAGCAAAACCTTACACTGAGACCATGAAAATCATATTCACTTTACATATGCTGAGTAAACAAGATTAAATAATAACGATTCTTATGCTGAGTAAGTAGAATAGGTATTTAATGTTAGAAATTTTATTACTAAAGTTAAATTTCTGATCCTAAATTACCAGAACAATTTTTCATTAAAAGCACATATTCCATTGATTTAACAGAGCCTTTATGTTTCCAGAACTTCATAAATAGAGGATAACTTAGCTACTAGTCCAACATTTTATAATAGTCAATTGATGGTTCCTTGTATGATGGCTGTTTTACAAAAGTTGAGGGGTGGACTGTTTAGAACCTTTCCCAAAATATTTCATTTACATAATCACAAATTTTTAAAGGGTCCCTTGTTCCCATGATCCTCCAAAAGCAACAAATACTGAAGACAGAAATTTTGTTTTTCTAAATATATGAAAAATAATAAAATTTAGCCTGTTTTAACAGAATTCATTTTTTTCTTGAAAACTCACTGTAGTAATTTAGCACACTAAAGAAAATTTCTAAGATTAATTTCTTCTGAATATTTATCTTCTAGTTGATATCTTCTGCTGAATATTTCAAAACAATTCTATTTTTTTTTAAGAAAAACATACCTCTGGATGAAAGAAGATTTCAGGTCCCAAAAATCTCTCATAACCAACATCAATAGAAAATTCTTTCTTTGAGATAGCATTGATTCCAGTATACTGTTTAATCCATTTTGACCCATCTGTGTCATACTTGTTAAATTCTTTTACTAAATCTGGGCAGACATAACTATAGCGCTCCTAAAAAACAAAGAAAAATAAGTAACTTTTTTTCTCTTGTTTTAGAAACAGTATAAAAGGATGACATACCTTCAGAAAGCTAGACTCAAACAACAACAAAAAACTTCAGAAAATAAAATTAGAAAATTAAGCTGTAAGAAAAATTTATGTTAGGATATTATCATATACATAATATAAACAGTTCATCTCCTACACATATTTTCTGACTTCATATATAAACAGAATTAAGATTTGAGACACTAAAGAGCCAATTTCTACTATGTTTGTTACTTCCTGAAACATTCACTAATGTCATCCAACATTATGTTTCAGCTACATGAAGAATGAGTAATTATTGTTGTAACCACACATGTTAATACAGATCCTTAATACCTATCTGAAACAAAACTGATTATGGTCTAAGTAACCGAGCAAAGAAAGAAGGCTGAAAATATACTCTATTTTTTTGCATATTTGGTTATGTGACCTAAGTAAAAGTTTCCATCAAAAACTATTGAAAAATATGTTATAGGTTATAACATCCTATTTGTAATGTATGGACTCCTGACCTGACTGCCAGCCTGTATTTCTTTTTTAAGAAAAACATACGTAACTTGTATTTTTATACAAGGATTCTATCTAAGATAGATGTAAATATTAGTGACAATCAAAACAACATAAAAAAATACTAGAAATAAAAAATATTTGACTATGCTATCTAAGGTGTTTTATTACCACACCTTGAAAGTAGAAATTATATAAAAATGATTGTTCCTTAAAAGACATTTAGAAAGAATATCAATCTTCTCTAAAATGGATATAAATCCCAAGTGTTTTTGTTTTGTTTTAATTTCACAAGATGTTGAAATAATTGTATTCATATTAACTTTTTACATATTTAATTTTTATGTCACCAATTTAGGGTAACTTTGGCAGCCATTTTGTAATTTCTTTACTATGTAGGTAGAAGTAGTTGATTCATTTTCATTCCTAAGAGTTGAAGAGTAAGGACAATCCTATAAACATGCAAAGAGAGGCAAATAAATAAGTTATTTTTTGCCAAGGCAGTTTTGCTTTACAAAAACATATAAGATCAACTGAAATTTTTTTAGTGATGTTGGCAAACAATAAATTTAAAAAGCACTGCTAAGTATTTTGATAGTCCGCATGAAGCACTGATATAATAAAGACTTACATGACAGAAAAATTAATACTTTGCATAGCCTTCATATTTTTCTTCTATGTGCCATGTTGCTTAAGTTAAACATTACCACTATAAAACAATGAACCAATTATATTAAAATAATTTTTGTAACAAAACTGTTAGAATTAAAATAAAGAGTTCAGTGAAGAAACTGAGATGCAAGAATACAATAGAGAAATAATTATTTTTAATAAAGAGAATAATCACAAAAATGTATGCTAAAGTCATTTGGTAAAAATGTTCTTATAATGTTAGTCATCCCAAATGGAAAATATGGAGAAGGAAGACAAAAGGTAGATAATCCTCAATAATGTCCTTGCAAGAAATACAGAGAAAACTTATATTTAAATAAGAGTTATGGTTTATAACTAGTTAACAGGACTATTTTCAAGTACTGTTCTTCACTTGAGAATTTGTCATGTTAATGTTATAAACGTGGTTTTCTTTATAAATAAATTACACTTAGATCACTACTTTTTACCTTTACTGCCTTAGCAGTTTCCAGGGATTGTTCTGGAGGGATTCCTACTTCTCGGTCTCTCAGCAGTTGCTGAATAAAATATGTTATATCCCGTCCTGCGATTGGAATGTGTTTAATACAGCTGCCAATCACATACCCTTCAGCCTAGATGGAGGAAAAAAAGCTGTCAAATTTACTTTCAGTGTTTTGAAAGTTAATATAACCTAAGAAATAAACCATTAAAAACAAATTTTTCCAGTGCGTGTATTAATATTCTCAAATACTGCTTTATCTCAGGAGAATTCATCTTTATTCTTCAAGTGTATTCCTCACTCTGTACTTATAGAATTTATAATACTGCTCAGAAATTATAAGATTGGCAAGCAACTTAAATATATTCTCCCAGTGACAGTGTATAATCATGACTAAAATGACTTAATAACAGAAATAATAAATTTCATAAGAATCAAATGCTTTAGATAGTAGACTTTGTATCAGACAGGGTATTACTATAAAATATTTTATAATTTCAGTAAAAAAATTTAGATTACATTGTAGCAAATCTGATCATTAACCCACGAAGTAGCTATATTTTCCTAACAAAGCAGGTACCCATTTCACAAGCCTAAGGCATGCCATGCACCATCACAATGCCAAGTAACTAAATTCTGTAGAATGGATTCATAAATTTACTGATATGGTTCAAAAATACAACAAAAATGTAGCAAAACTAAATTTCATCAGGAAAGATTATCAGGAACATCTTTGTCTGACCATGACAAAATATTAGAGATTGGACTTACCCTCTCAACTTAAAGAGAAAACAGGACAAATGACATGACATAAAGGTTTTCAGACATTTGACAGATGGCAAACTACAGCACTGATTCCTTCTAAAAAAAGAGAAACAAAACACCATATCTCACTGGCTGGGGAGAGATACCAGGCAACAACAATGGGAAGGAGAATCCAAACAGAGTCCGGTGGTCTCATTAAGTTAGGACTACAGAATTTAGGGTTCAAAACGGCCAAAGTGGCTAAGGAAGGAAGGAAGGAGTTACACAGAAGAGATTATTTCCTTAGTTGATTTACAAACCAGCACATTCATGTGAGGAAATGGTCATGGTCAGAGGAAAAAACCTCCACAAAAAAAGTAGACAGAACAATCTCCAGGGCTCACACACAGCCAAAAACAGTTCATGTTACCAGCAGCCAGAGTTGAAAGACATTGTCAAATACAGGATATCAACTAGAATTCACAGAAGAATATTGCCTCAATAGCGGGGACAAACCAGCTGCTGACAAGTCTGTTCTGGGCCTGCTTAATGACATTTAAAAGGAGTCTCTGAGAGGACCAAATTAATTCCTAGCAATTTAACTTTATCCCAGGAAAAAGGGAAATAATTCTGAAATATTTTATCCCAGAAAAAAATTCTGAAATATTTAAAGAGCTCCAAAACTCCAGGACACACAGCACCAATCAAGAAGTACAAGCATGAAAGGAAACAGAAAAACACAATCCCTGGCCAGGAGAAAAATATATCAATAAAGAAAGAGAAAGGCCGGCTCGGTGGCTCAGCCTGTAATCCCGCGCCTTTGGGAGGCTGAGGTGAGTAGACTGCCTGAGCCCGCGGGTTCGAGACCTGCCTGGGCAGGCGAGACCTCATCTCTACAATAAAATCAAAAAATTAGCCAGGCATGGTAGCGCGTGCCTGTAATTCCAGCTACACGGAAGGCTGAAGCAGAAGGATCGCCAGAGTCCAGCAGGTTGAGGCTGTGGTGGCCGGGAGCGGCCACTGCTCTCCAGTCTGGGCAACAGAGTGAAACTCCAACTCAAAAAAAGACAGAAAAGGAACAAAGATGACAGAATTAGACAATGACATTAAAACACCAACTATAGGCCGGGCTCTGTGGCTCAGCCCTGTAATCCCAGCGCTTTGGGAGGCCGAGGTGAGCGGATTGCCTGAGCCCGTGGGTTCAAGACCCGCCCGGGAAACTTGGTGAGACCTCATCTCTACAATAAATCAAAAATTAGCCGGGCGTGGTAGCGCGTGCCTGTAGTTCCAGCTACTCGGAAGGCTGAGGTAGAAGGATCACTGGAGCCGAGCAGATCAAGGCTGCGGTGGCTGGGAGCGGCCACTGCATTCCAGTCTGAGCGACAGAGTGAGACTCCAACTCAAAAAAAAACACCAGCTATATACTTCATATCATGAAGGTCAATGAACATGAAGAAGAGAGAAACAGAAGTTATAAAAAGACCTGCCAGGCATGGTGGCTCACACCTGTAATACGAGAACTTTTGGAGGTAGAGGAGAGAAGATTGCCTAAGTTCAGGGGTTCAAGCCAGCCTGGACAACCTGACGAGACCTCGTCTCTACAATAAATATATTTTAAAAATTAGCCAGGTGTGGTGGTGCGTGCCCGTGTTCAAGCTACTTGGAAGACTGAGGCGGAAGGATTACTTGAGCCCAGCAGGTTGAGGCTGCGGTGGCTGTGAAGTGAGCCACTGCACTCCAGCCTAGATGACAGAGTGAGACTTCTACTCAAAAAAGACCCAATTAGAGAAGAATACCATTTCTGAAATAAAAAGTATGTTAGATGAGCTCACAGTAGATTATATAGTGAAGAAAACAGAATAGTGAATTTGAAGACATAGCAATAAAAATGATAAAGAGAAAAATGAACAAAGCATCAATGAACTATAAAACACTGTAAAGCAGCCTAATATCATGTAACTGGAGTCCCAAAAGGAAACAAAAGAGGGACAGAGAAAATAGGTACACAAATAATGGGGCATGGGCAACATAGTGAGACCTTGCCTCTACAAAAAATCAAAAAGTTAGCTGGGCATGGCAGCGTGTGCTTGTAGTCTCAGCTACTCAGGAGGCTAAGGCAGAAGGATTACCTGAGCCCAGGGGGTCAAGACTGTGGTGAGCTATGATCATGCCACTGCACTCCAGCCTGGGAGACAGAGCAAGACCTCAGCTCACAAAAATAATAATGGAAAAAAACTTCACAGATGAAAACTAAAAATCCACATATCCAAGAAATGCAATGAATCCCAAGGAGAAGAAAGATGAAGCAATTTTTATTAAGTTATGTCACAATCAAACTGCTGAAAAGCAGTGAACCAGAAATAAAGAGAAAATCTTGAAGGCAGTCAGACAAATAAGAAACATTACATTCAAAGAAAGAGAAATAACAGCTGACTTATTTTCAGAAACAATGTAAGCCAGAAAACATAGTGATATCTAAAATGAAAACTATCAATCTTCTGTACCAAGCAAAAATACCTTTCAAAAATGAAGGAGAATAAAAACATTTTCATAGGATATACAAAAGTTGAAAGAATTAAAAGCTAGCCAATCAGTACTATAAGAAATATTAAAGAATGTGATTTAGACAGAAAAAAAAATGATACTAGATGGAAAGTGCGGCCTTCAAAAGAAAAAGTACTACAAATAATATGTGAGTAAATATAAAAATAATTTTATCTCTTTTCAAAGTTTCTTTTAAAGATGACTAGTTGTTATTGCCTGAATTTTGTTTTTCCTCTCCTACAAATTCATATGTTGAAGTCCTAACCCTTAGTATCTCAGAATGTGACTAAATGAAGAGAAAGTTTTTAAAGAGGCAATTAAGTTAAAATGAAGTCATTGTGGTCATTTCCCCTAAGCCAGTATGATTGATGTCCTTAAACAAAGAGGTGAGGACAGAAACAAATGTGGCAATGACCATGGGAAGACAGAGAAAGAACATGATCATCTAGAAGATAAGGAGAGTCCTCAGAAACCAACTCTGCTAGCACCTTGAGTTTTGACTTCTAATTTTCCAAACCTGTGAGAAAATAAATTACTGGCTCCCAGTAATTGCTTAGGCACCCAGTCTGTGGTACTTTATTATAGCAGTTCTAGCAGACTAATACACTACTTACCATGAAACAAATTAATAATATATTATTGAATTTATAACAGGCAAAAGCAAAATGAATACAATAATAGCACAAAGACTAGAAAGGAACAATATGGTTGCACAATTCTTATTTAAGAAGTGGTAGAATGTTATTTATAATTAGATGGTGAAGTTAAAGATGTTTACTATAAACCACATAGCAACCACTACTAAAAAAATAAAATAATAGCAAAGAGGTATAGCATAGGTAATAGGTCAATAAAGATAAGATGAAATAATAAAAAATATTTCATTAATTCAAAAGGTGGGGAAATAAAACAATGAACAAGAATACTCATTCCCTTTTTCATGAATACCTATTTTTAATACCCTTACTAAATTCATTCTTTTCCATGTTGATAATGTCTATGTTGCAAATTACTTATTCTAATTTGAATTATCAAGATACTCATATTACTGCTTACTTGTGTAGATATTAACACTGAAGTTGAGGCTGGGTGTGGTGGCTTACACCTATAATCCCAGCACTTTGGGAGGTGGAAGCAAGAGGAGTGCCCGAGCCCAGGAGTTCAAGAACAGCCTGGACAACTTGGCCAGATCTTGTTTCTACAATAAACCAAAAAATTAGCTGGGCATGGTGGTGTGCACCTGTAGTTTCAGATGCTTGGAAGGTAGAGATGGAAGGATCACCTGAGCCAAGCAGGTCGAGGTTGCGGTGGCCATGAGTATGCCCCTGCACTCTACCCTGGGCAACAAAGTGAGATTCCAACTCAAAAAAAAAGGAAAAAAAAGGACTGAAGTTGAGCAGAACCAGTTCAAATCCTGGTCTATTATTTGGTGACCTCAGGCAAATCACTTATCTGCATTTATTAATGAATAAACTGAGGTACTCAAAGAAAAATATAATCTTTATCAGACTGACTTCCAGATCTAAGTGAAAATTTTAAGATGAACAATTATTTTATGTACTCCTAAGAAAAATAAACTGCCAATTACACTATAAAAAGCCATCAAAATTGGACCATGTCCTAATTTTTAAGTAAGATACCTACCTGCCAAGAGTTAAATAAAGTGTTGAATACACATACAATGAAATATTATATGGCAATAAAAAGAAATGAAGTACTATGCACGCTATTGCACGAATGAATCTTGAAAACGTTCAGCTGCCAGGAGCAGTGGCTCAAGCCTGTAATCCCAGCACTTTGCGAGGCAGAAGTGAGAGGATTTCCTGAGCCCACAGGTTCCAGACCAGCCTGGGAAACATGGCGAGACCTCATCTCTACAATAAAATAAAAAAAATTAGCTGGGCGTGGTGGCGTGCACCTGTAGTTCCAGCTACTTGGAAGGTTAAAGTGGAAGGATCGCCTGACACCAGCAGGTTGAGGCTGCAGTGGCCATGAGCATTTCACTGTACTCTAGCCTGGGTGAGAGTGAGAGCGTGACTCAAAAATAAAATGTTTAGCTAAGTGAAAGCAGTCAGTCACAAAAGGTTACACAGTGTATGATTCCATTTACATGAAAGGGCCAGAAGAGGCAAATACGTGCACACAAAATTTAAGTTAATGGTTGCCAGAAGCTAAGGGTATCAAGAAAAAATGAGGAATGACTGCTGATACAAGGTTTTTTTTTGAGGGTGATGAAAACATTCTAAAACTGACTGTGGTGATAATCTATTAGTATATTCATATTCAAGAACTAGTATATTAACTAAAGACCAATTACAGAATTATAAACCCTAAACAGGCATGGTGTATAAATTACATCTCAATAAAGCCACCATTAAAAAATGGCAGTTATCAGCTGGGTGCAATAGCTTATGCCTGTAATCCCAACACTTTGGGAGGTAGAAGCTAAAGAGGACTGCCTGAGCCCAGAGGTTCAAGACCAGCCTGGGCAACTTGATGAGACCTCATCTCTACAATAAATTTAAAAATTAGCCAAGTGTGGTGGCATGTGCCTGTAGTTCCAGCTACTGGAAGACTGAGGTGGAAGGATCACCTGAGCCCAGCAGGTCGAGGCTGCAGTGGCCATGAGCATGTTCATGTTACTGCACTCTAGCCTCAGTGACAGAGTGAGACTATGAATTAAAAAAAAAGGAACTGGAAGTTCAAAGGTCTTGAAAGAAAAAATGCTATGCCTAATAAATAATCCAATCTGGTACATTTTTTATATGCTTTACTAAATAGAAGCCATAAAGCATCCATTAAAGTTCATGTGCTTACAACTAACCATTATACAGTTAACCCATCAGCTAGTTTGAAATCTGTTCATTAGGAATTAAATAGGACATTAAATAGCTAAGGACACACTCAACTGGTAAAGAGAATGAAAGCCAGAGAGCAAAGTTACAGCAAAAGAAACAATTGAAATGTATTTATAAAATTTTAATAATAAGGTGAACATGTAGCTATAAATGAACAAATGCCTGATAAACGCAACTTTTTAAGGCATAGTGTTTAATTCATAAAATGTAACTTTGCTAGATGCATTATTTCCTATTCTGTAAATGTAAAACATCCTTACCACAGGAATGACATGAGTGACACCATCTCCACTGTCTATTACTGTACCAGTCAATGTCCGTTCTCCTACTTGTCTTGAAGTCCAGGATGCAGCTAAGGCAAGAACAGCCTTGAACAAAAAGAAAATGATAAGTAAAAGTAAAAACATAACAAAAATAGTTAACAGAACAAACCATTTTACTGGAGTACTTTATTCCATTTTAAATGTAACATCTATGAAAGAAACTATAGAAAATTTATTTTGTATCATGCAATAAAATTGCTTACTCCCTACATTTTATTAAGACAAACTTACAGCTTTGTATTTGCTTTCAGGAGCACATTTATAAGCTTTTCATATTTTATGAAGATTATTTTCCTCCTAAAGCTAAAAACACGAAAAATTACATGAAAGAGTATAGTACTACCTCGCCAGAATTTAAACTATGTCCACATAGGCCTGTTACAAACTATAATGCAAAATTAAAAGTACACAACTACCCAACCTCCAGAGTTACTTAATACCTAAAAGGCTGTGAACAAGTATTACTCCTAAAAAGATGAGCTTCAAATTTTTAGAATACAACATGTGTTTAGGGCTATCCAACACAAAGAAAAAGCCATTGCACACTTTTAAATACTACTATGATTTAATTAGGAAGCAAAGTTAATGATACTTTTCTACAAAAAATTTTGGCATAGCCAATATAACACAATTTGTTTTTCAAAAAAGTTTGAGTTAGCTGGGCGTGATGGTATGCACCTGTAGTTCCAGCTACTAGAAAGGCTGAGGCAGAATTGCCTGAGTCCAGCAGGTCAAGGCTGCGGTGGGCATGAATGTGCCATTGTACTCCAGCCTGAGTGACAGTGAGACTCTGACTCAAGAAAAAAAAAAGCTGGGCGCAGTGGCTCACACCTATAATCCCAGTACTTTGGCAGGCCAAGGTGAGAGGATTACCTGAGTCTATGGGTTCAAGAACAGACTGGGCAACTTGGCAAGACCTCATCTCTACAATAAGTCAAAAAATTAGCTGGGCATGGTAGCATGTGTCTATCCAGCTACTTGAAAGGCTAAGGCGGAAGGAACGCCTGTGTCCAGCAGGTCAAGGCTGCAGAGGCCGTGAGTGTGCCACTGCACTCTAGCCTGGGCAACAGAATGAGACTCCAACTCAAAAAAAAAAAAAGTTTGGGAATTAAAAATTAACAGTTTATTCTTTAAAAACCAAATTTCTTACAATCCAATGCCCCAAAAAAGTATATGTCTAATAATTAAAAAACAGAGCTAAACTTAAATTTTAAAAGGTTTATTTTACCTACTTGGAATATAATACATGATGGGAAACTAGAAAGCTACCTAGGCCATTCTCATATTTTAATACAAGATCATTTTAACTCAATGGCCACACAATCATTGTAGGCTAACAGAACCATACATTATTTTTTAATGGTCTTATAAGTAAAAACCTCATACAGACACTAGCAAGAAAGAAAGTATTGCTTAGACTTCATTGTGCAATATATCCTTTCTTTTTAGATAAATTCAAAATCATCATTTACAACCTCAAATTCTTTTTGATTACTTTTATGAGTCTGTGTAGATAGTTAGATCTAAAACTAGAAGAGGTATGTATCAGCACATCATGTTACAGAAATTTTATTGACTACTGAATATAAACAAAACAGAAGATAGATCACTTAGCGCTCTCTGAGGAAGTCACTGAGATTATGTCTCTACAACAATGAACCAAAACTCTTAGGGCAGTTGTTTTAAAGTACATTTGAAAATATTATTAAACATAGTATATTATATTTAATACAGAGATAAGAAACAAAGACTCTCAAGTGAAAAATAAATTTCTCCATCTTTTTCCTTTATTAAGATTCTAAGACCTAAAAAGGGCCTCCCACTCAAGATTAAATTCCTAAAAGTTTCTGATAGGTGCTTGTAATTCAAATATTTTTATCAACAGAGAACTTGAAAAGCAGCTTATTAAAATCATAGATTACATTAAACATTAAAAAGTTCTTTGCTATCCAAGCTAAAATATTCACCCCAGTAATTATCATTTACTAGTCATGTGTACTTGAAATTACAAAACTCAGTCTGATCCCACAAAGAGCTACGGCAGATCTCAGCCTATATCACAAGCCAAACATTTAACAATGAATAAGCTGCCTTCAAACTTTAGTTCTTTTCTCTATAAAACAGCAAATAAAAATATAGAGAGTTAATAGAAAGAATGAATTTGTAAAGCATCTGTGATGTTCAGTATTGCATTTGCTATACAGTTAAAAACGGGGGGAGGGGAGGCAACCTCTGATACTGAGGAGTGGGAGAGAAGTTGCTCCACATAGACTATGCACAAATTAAGAGCACTGAAACAGTACAGATACTAATGATATACAGAGGCACAAAGGAAAGGGTGGCAAAATATACCTAAAGGTAAGACAATCAAAAAAAATACTATGACAAAGGACACAAAGAATGCTACAAGGATAAAGAAATATGTATAACATGTTCCTTGGCATGCAGTGAGCATTCAACGAATACTAGTTCCCTTATTTTGATCCTATGAAAGCTGTGAAATATCCAAAGACTACTAACTTAGTTTCTCTAATACTTCTTTTTCTGACTAAATAGTTTCAGTTCCTATAATATTATTTCTAAATTAACAATTCAGGAGAGAAGTATAAGTTGCTTTGATATTAAGTTTAAGCCTTTCCAGAAAATAAAAATTACATATTTTAGCAAATTCAACCACATTAAAACTTAAGAGTAAAACTTAAATAATTATAAACTTGCTTACCTGCACAGCAATGTACAAGCCTGGAACATTGAAAGACTCAAACATTATTTCAGCAGTATATTCCCTGTTTTCTGGAGTATTCAGTGGAGGTTCAGTCTATCGAATTGAATAATATTTTAAATACACAGCATTAGATTATTATGATAACTTTATAAACTTTTTAAATGTGAAATAATTTATTTCAAACACTGTATTTAAAATGCATTAAACTTATAGGCAGAAAGACAACTATCAAGAATTCAAATATGCTGGGCACAGTGGCTCATTCCTTTAATTCCAGTACTTTGGAAGGTGGATTGCCTGAGCCCAAGGGTTTGAGACCAGCCTGGGAAATTTGGTGAGACCTCATCTCTACAATAAATCAAAAAATTAGCCAGGTGTGATGACGCCTGTGTTCCAGCTACTTGGAAGGCTGAAGAGGAAGGATCGCCTGAGTCCAGCGGGTCAAGGCTACCGTGGCCGTGAGCATGACACTTGCACTCTAGCATGGGTGATAGAGTGAGACTCAGACTCAAAAAAATAAAATAAAATAAAATAATTCAAATATATATGACCCTATATATATATGGTCATTCACATAAAAAGAAAAAAACTAATCCCTATATCCCACCACTCATATGGATAAAACACTGAGAAGAAATGAAGAGAGAGACAGAAGAAAGAGTTAGAAAAAAGGTTATTCAGCGAATCATCCTGTTAAACACGGAAATGACAGACCTCCAGACAAATACACCAGTGTTATTTGCAAGTGGGAGAATCTTCATCTAAACAATGATTTAAACAGGATGTCCCTGGTCTGTCGAGGATTATAGTAAAATAAGCCAAGATTCTACAGATTTAATGACACAGCTTTCTGAAAAGGTTGTATTAAGTTATTTAACTGTTAGGAACATAAAATAGGAATGTTTACACAGCTCTCTTCTACTTTAGTTATGTGACTGCATACATCACTTAGAAACTTCATAGGTTAAGTCTGGGCAGAACACACCCTAAGGAGGCGAGAAAGGACCTGGGGAACAGCACTGGCAAACCTGAACGTCATGTTTCATCTGTGCCTCATGAATATGTAAAATCATTTAAATTATTAAAGCCTGACACTGGGTAAGACCTCTGATTCTTATGAGTCTGATGTGATAAACCATCAAATATTTAAACGTGAAGGCAAAACTTCTAAATATAATACAAAAACATTATCTTCCTGACCTTAAAGTAAGAAATGATGTCTTGAGTTTAAATAACACAAATCACAAAGAGAAAGAATGATAAAACTTAAATCCATTATAAATTAAATCCTTTTTATTCTTATTTCAAAAGACACTATAAAGAAAGTAAAATGACCAGATTTGTTTCCTCATGTAAAACCTCGAACAGCTAAACTCCCTGCCATGTTTAAACTTGTGTGTGTGTGTGAAAGCAGAGAGCAAGCGAGGAGAGCGAGACAGTGAGAGATGAGGAGAGGGTCGGCAGGGGGGAGGCAGAGAGAGTTCAGAGTCTTGCTCTCTTGGGAGACAGGGATGGGGAGGGAAGAGAGAGGGAGAGAGGGAGAGAGGGAGGGAGAGGGGAGAGTGAGCACCAGAGAGGGAGCAGGAGCACAGGAGAGGGAGGCAGAGAGGGAGGGTGGGTGTCAGTCTTTTTTTTTTGAGTCGGAGTCTCACTCTGTCGCCCAGGCTGGAGTGCAGTGGCCGCTCCTGGTCACCACAGCCTCGACCTGCTGGGCTCCAGGGATCCTTCCGCCTCAGCCTTCCAAGTAGCTGGAACTAAAGGCGTGCGTAACCACGCCAGCTAATTTTTGATGTATTGTAGAGATGAGGTCTCACCAAGTTGCCCAGGTGGGTCTCGAACCCACGAGCTCAGGCAATCCACTCACCTCAACCTCCCGAAGGCACGGGATTACAGGCTGAGCCACCGAGCCCGGCTGGGTGCCAGTCTTGAGTCTTGCTCTGCCTTCCAGGCTGCAGTGGCGCCATCATAGCTCACTGTAACCTCAAACTCCTGGAATCATGTGATCCTCCCCAACTCTGCCTCCCACTCTCTAGAACTACAGGTTTGTGTCACCATGCCTATTTGGTTTTTGGTCTTGCTATGTTGCCCAAGCTGGTCTTGAACTATTGGTCTCAAGTGATTCTCCCACCTCAGCCTCCCAAAGCACTGGAATTAGAGACATGAGCCACCACACCTAATCTAAACTTTAGAAATAAAGTTTAGAAGAGTTCTTGATAGACACATACAAAATTATGCAAACTAAAAAAATCCAAGGCAGTTAAATTATAAACTCCAGGGAAAAAAAAACTTCTACATAAGATATAATCAGAGAGCCGGGCTCGGTGGCTCAGCCTGTAATCCTGTGCCTTTGGGAGGCTGAGGTGGATTGCCTGAGCCCGCGGGTTCGAGACCCGCCTGGGCAAC